AGTTCATTCCCAGCTGCCTGCACCAGGTGGACATCAGTGGGAGAGTAAAAGGATAACGAAGCAATTTTCCTCACTTATTGCAAATGAGCAGAATAAAGGAACATGGCTGCATCTGGGCTCTGTGTGCTATTCACGGCCCTTGTTAAACAGCAGGTGTTGCCACCTGCCTTTAAAGTGGAAGCTCCTCTTGCTTCCATGTCTTAGACTGTAGAGTGCTTTGCTGAAAGGGAGAAGACCAAGGAAACAGCAGTGTTTGAAGCAGGCTGGTTAGGAAGTGGACTTTAGTTCACTACAGCTTTGTGTGAAGTACCATCCATCCAAGAGGTTGCATACAAGATGGAGAAGGGGACTGACTATGTCAGACTTGCTATGTTTAGTGCATTAGTTGGTCTGTTCAGTGCATTCTGGATGTCTACCTAGATATACTTATGTCACACGTGTATATAATGCATATATTTACATATATGCACAAATTGCATAAATAAATAAATGTGGCCCATACGTACGGCATTACCTGAGCTCTTCACAGGCTTTAATATATCTATCCTCTCTTCCCCACAAGATCAGGCGGTGCTGTTACCCTCAGTTCACAACCGGGGAACTGAGACACGGAGGAGCTCAAGTTAGATGCTCAAGCCGTACAGGGAGGCTGGGACTGAGGACAGAACTGAAACAAGATCCCTTAAACCCAGGTCTTTGGCCCTAACCACTGGATCGCCCGTCCTCTGTGCTGCCTTGTTCAGTTCAAATTCTTTTGTACCACTTGACTTGGAAAAACTGCTTCCAAACCAGTTCAGTGACCTCAAACTACCGGTTATGAAAGTCCCAACCCTGTGCACGCAGCAGGCCACAAAACCAGAACATGCGATAGACACTAGAGTGAGAGCAAGCAGCTGATGAATTTTGGTATTGCCAGCTGCCAGATTCCAGATGGAGTTCAGCCTGATGGAGAAGGTAACTTCAGAAGTAAATGTAGCGCAGCTCTTGTTTACCATATTCAAATTCATCTTCATCAAATATCATTTTCAGTGATTTTAAGGCCCTTAGACAGGAAGGTGATAGAGTTGAAAAAACAGCTGCTTGGCATTCACTGCGGGTAGTTGGAACTCCACCACTGCTAGTCAAATCACTTGAAATGCGTAAGAAAAACTTGCCTGGCTTTTAATGGGATTGTGACTTGGCCCATGATGTGCGATTAGGCAGGGCATTTCCTCTTATTATTTCTAAAGGAAATAGCTGTTATGCTGAAGGATATCCTTTGCTGGGTTTTCTGTGATAAAAACAAGATCAGTGACGAGGCATAAAGCTGAGACATGCAGGACAGAAAAGCCATTCCTCCATTGATAGGTTATTTATCATGGTATCTTATGAAGCTTTAGAGGGTAGTGCTCCTTTTCCAGGAATTTTATCATGGAAACATTCAGTAAGTCAAATGCTGTTGCCCTGAGGCCTTGTTCCACTATTTAGGTTAATATACTTCTTTTCCACCTCCCCCCACCCACATGCATGCTAAACCAGAACTGTCCTCTTATAGAAGAGGCTTGAGGAAATTTAAGCAGGTTGTTGCATAGCTTCATTGTGATGGCCTCTTTCACACACACTGTAGCCCAGATCACCTGAATGAATCCTTTTGTCCCCTTTGCTAAGGAGGGTGTATAGGCAGCTATGGTCTTCTGCCATGGATTGAGCAACATAATCCCTTAGGGAATCTGTGATTTCTTTACTTGTAATGCTTACATAAATTAGGTGCATGCCCCCACGCTGAACTCGGGAGGCTGCATTAGCAGTATCTTGAGAAAACGGCAGACATTTTCTGGTTGGAAGTTAAAAAGGCAAGACTGTCATTATCTTGGCTTAATCAACTGGACAAACTAATCTGCTCTTGGGATCAAAGCGTGTTGGCCCAACAGTCTTGTGGGTTAATTGATTTCTTTAGTTTATTGTTGCCTGTTGGGGTTGTAACGCTCTCTTTAAACATTGCTGCTTGGTAATATTCACAAGTAATCCAGCTGGGTTAGTTTTTTTTGTTTTTTGTTTTTACCTTGGAACGGGTCATTGGCTTAAAAAGTACCTAAGGGCAGGTTGGTCCTTTACTGTGATGTCTTGGAAGGGGGTGGAGGAATTAGATGGGAGGCAGGGAAGAAAGGGAGAGAGGTTTTTTTTTCTTTCTTCTTTTTTTTTTTTTTTTTTTCTTTGCAGTAAAGCTTAGCTGCAGCAAGTTTTGTTTGCTTGCTTGCTTGTTTTTTGAGGCACATATTTCCCGAACTGGAAATAATGTAGAAGTGGTTCAAGCATCTTTGAAGGCCTCTTAATGTACAGCTGATGTTGCCTGTTAGCATACAGGCATCAAGCGAGAACGACGAGACGGTGAATGAGAACTAGTTTCCAATTGGCAAAAGGTGCGAGAGAAGAAATGCAAAGAACAGAGATGACAGCTGGCTCGATCTTTTATTTCTGAGACATGCTCTCAAACAAGGAACAATTCTAGGAGTTGCAGGCTGAATCCTTATCCCTGCCAATACAGTTATCCCTCATCCATGCACTTGGGGCCTAGTTTACAGCACTTGAAGTACTAATGTACCTCCTTTGTGGATATAGTCAGGTATTTACACATCTAAATTATACTGGTAGCATATGCAGTTGTTTGTGGATATAAAAATAGGGGAGCCCCTCTTTATTTGGGTCCCCAGGCCCCAAGAGTGTTTCTGTAGCTGAAAACTGTTCTGGGGAACTTGTTAGTGGTTCTGTTCCTGCTGTCGTGTGGGTACAGGTCCCCGGTCCACATAAAAGGCACTTGTGCAGGAACCCCAAAGATTCTAGCTGGCCGAGTTGCTAAATATAATGAAGCGTTTGCATCTCTGTGGGGTGTGAGGTTGAGCGGTATAACACTCTCCACAACGAAGGCTGCAAGATCAGCCTGGTGTTGCAGTCAGGACTTCAGGTGTGTTTGCTGTAGCCCATGCTTTCTGCTTCCCCTGCCTGCCCAGTGCTCCTTCAGCAGGGAAGAAATGCGGATAAGTGCTCTGCTGCTGTTGTTGGTCACATTGTGAAGCAGGAGACCATTGTCCAGAGATGCTGATAGACTTTTAGCCTCTCTTCCCATCCTTGGCAATACAGGGGGCTGACATCTGATGACTTAATACCAGGAATCAACTTGCTACCTCTGTTGCTAAATTTAGTTTCCCTTTTCCACCCTTTTAGGTGTTGTTGCCAGCTGCTAGTTTATTGCAATTAATGGACGTTAGGAAAAACTGCTGTGATTTTCTCCAATCTCAGCTGCATCCCACAAATTGCCTTGGAATTCGAGCCTTTGCAGACGTGCATGCATGCACTGAACTTCTGCAGCAGGCGAATGCCTATGCAGGTGAGCAAAGTGTCCTGGTTATCCCTCCATGTGATGAGTTTGTTGTCAGGCACTGGCAGGGACTGGGGCCACAATCACTGCATGCTTTAATATTCACAAAGAGCATGTCACAGGCTTCCTTACTGCACTGCAGGGTCGTAACCAATTGTGATGCTGCAAATGAAATAGGCAGTTGGTAACAAGGGAAGGTTTGGAGGTGAAACGAGCCACTTCAGCTTATGCAGGGAGATGTCATGTGAAGTACTTCCTTTATGCATCTACAAGGCAGCGTAAGCAATGATCTACAACATGGTTCATATTTTGGGATCATCACACTAAACACTGCAGTGTCTGTTTGGCTGGCCAGAATTTTCTTTCCCTCCCTCTTCTGTAAGCGCTTCCTTTGAAAGTTCTTTGGAACGGGATGGTGCAGTCAACCTACTATGGCTTTATGTCACTCTGTGATGAGGAGGATGCTATTCTCATACGGTTCTTCAATACTTATCTGTAATCTCATTAACAAACGCATCTAGTCACATTATTTTATACTTCTGTGTACCTTGCAGAGTGCAGCATAATAGAGATTGAGATGGAGTACCCCTGTCTTTTGTGAATATACTGAATAATGTTTTATGTTTGGGAAGCACGGGTGTGTTTTCATAGGAAGCAATACTCATTTACTCACCTTTAATAAAGCCAATCCTTGCACCAATCCTCATTGAGAAGATGTGTCCAATGCTCTGTGGTGGTTCTGTATATCACATGAGCTACTGAGAGCTCTCCTCTTAATCTGGACAAGCAGAGAAGAGTGATCTTTGGGCAGCTGGAAACTTAACTTGAATGAAGGGGCTCAGTCACCAACAGCAAATTCTACTGAAACAGGAGCCTGGCTTAGTTCAAATCTGTCTGTTTTCCTGCAGCATTATGGAGGTGTCTCACACCCTCTCTGACTCTTGAGTGCTGGGAGTTAATGTCAGTGTTGCAGCTTTCAAGGGCATTGATCTCCAGGACTCGCGACAGCAGAGCTTTAATGCAGTGCTTGGCATTCTAGTGCTTGGCACTAGCACCTGTCACGCTGCAAACTTCAGAGCATAACAAGCTGACAGTCTTCAACACACAGTCCCTCTGCTCCACCTCAGCAGATGCATCTAAACACTTAGCAATGTCACCCATGTTGACAGGACCATACGTATTCCTCTTGTCTGGCAGCTGGAAGCCAGCAAGAGCCATGGTTAATAAGCAGCAGTTTGTGCATTCGTCTGGGCACACGTCTGGGGGCTTATCCTCAGCTGATATAGATTTCTATAGTTCCATGAAGATTCATGAAGTTGTGGCAGTTAATATCTGCCCTGTGGCATTGATGCCAGTCTTATTTGGATGATAACATGTCTCATAGTGTTGATTTCTCATTGGTGGTATCTGCTTTAGATTAGGTTTTCTGCCTGGCTGAGTAGGGCAGGGGATTTGTTCCTGTATCTCTCTTAGCTGGCTTCAAAGGCAGAAATCTAATACTGCAGAAAGTGTGACTTCCATGCTCTAAATCTTCTGGCTTTACCAGTAGCCTGGGGGTTGCCTTGTGCTCTGGAGGGGTGGTAGCTCTCCCCGTGCGCTTGTTTGGCTTCCCTCATCGGGCGTCTTTAGCTACTTGGGTAGGTAACACGACCCTGTCCTTTGTCTCTGTCTTTTCCCCCCGTGCAGGTGGTGCTCTAGCACATGCAGCGTTCTGCTCAATGTGCATCTTTATCAAACAGTGAGCAGGTTCATTTTGACGACGCAACAGCTGTCATCCTACTTTCTCTCTCTCTCTCCAATCCAGACAAGTCACTTTTGCTGCCTTCTCCCCTGGAGGGAAATGCACTCAGAAAAAATGGTTAATTGTGAAAGGGTTTGCTTGTAATACCTCATTATCCTTGCTTCCAGGCCTCTAGTTAATCTTTAACCTAACAAGCAGTGCATTCAGAATATATTTATTTCATTGTTTGGCAATTAGAGGGCCTGCTTCTTGTTGTTTTATTGGCCTTCATAAGTCCCTGTTAGCACAACAGCCGATGTAATGTTAACAAAACCCTATTAATAAAAATGCCATTAAAATTCTTTGAGTTCTGTTGTTTAATGTAAGAGCATTAAACTAAGCCAGAAATCTACAAACTGCGGAGAGAGAGACCCCAAGGGTTACATGAGCTCTAGAAAATGCCTCATTTAAAAACTTTGCTTTACGCTGAGGATGACTAGATGTTCAGGCCTCCTTGCTCAGGGCCCAGGTTTCTGAATTCTCTACCATCATCAGTAAATATGTTACTTGCTTTCAGCACATAGCAAGAGGCTGAATATTTGTCTTCTACCAAATGCCTGTCTTAGTTCATATGAAGGTGGTGCATTCAGAGCCCGGAGCACATTCAGGGCTCTCTACACATGGAGCTCCATTCCTCCCGAGCCCAAGAGCTTCCAGCCAGAAGGGCCCTGTAGGTCATCCATTCTAACCTCCAGCATATCACAAGCCATTCAGAGCCCCTCTCACTAACCAGAGTCCTTAAGCTTAAAGCATGTTGGTCCTCAGATAATTAAACTGTGCCACTGGCAGAGAACAGAAGAGTAAAATGCTACCCATATTCTGGGTCCCTGCAGCAGGAGGGGATTGGCTAGGTGAGAAATGCCTGTATAATCCCAGCAGATGAACCATACATGGTCTGTGTCATCTTGGGCCTACGTAAGAGTGCATGATGCTCCAAGTGCCTTATGGAGGGGAAAACGGGATGCAGTCTCATCCCTGAACCCTGATCTTGATGCTCATGGTTGCATTTCTTTGTGCTGAAAGCAACTGGTTCAAACAAAATCCCCAAGAGCCAGGTTCCTATAGTTGTGTGTTTCCATTCAAGGTAAATGGCACTGTACAAATGATGCATAAGAGTGGGTGCTTCTTAGAGCAGAGCCTTCCAGCACTTCACCCCGGTATGGTTAGGTGTGCAAATAAACACTTACATGCAAATAAACACTTAACGTTTGCTTAGAAACAATAGCATAAGCCATCAACTTCGCTGCAAAATCTCTGAGACAGGAGATGCAGCCGCTTGTGGGGAAAAAAAGAAACCAACATGCAGTTGTGCAGATACTTTTACTAGACACGCTGGCCGGTTTAAACAAGACATGCAACTTTAATTTGTATGAACCTGTTCCCTAGTGCTTTTGGTAGCATTTAATGGATAACAGGTGGCACTGGCAGATTTAAATAGTCCTGCCAGACTGTTCCCTATCTGAAGTTGTAGGGGCAGTACAGGATTCCTGTACTTTATACAGTGATGCCTGGAGCTGGAGTGGAGAGACTTGGGAAGGAGGGGGTGTCTGGAGCTTGGGGAATGGTGGATCATTTTTAGTTTGAGTCCTAAAGAGGTAAGGGTGACTTGAAAGGTAGTTGGTGCAGTTGGGAGGCAGCATTTGTGCTTTTGTGGAAGGAGTTTGAGGAGAGGAAAATAAATGGTGGAGGGAGAAAGTAATGGGCATGAGAACTGAGGCGTGGGAGGGGAGTAGAGAGCAGGGAAGAGACTTGAGAGGAAGTAGGAGCTGGGGCACAGGTCCCGGGTGACAGTGGAGTGCGGGGTTGGTGGGACAGGAGTTGCAGTAAAGGGGCCCACCAGCATGGCTGACATCTGCAGAGACACCTGGGGAGTGGAAATAATGGAAGTGGCAGTGGGAGACTCTTGCTCTTAGTCCATCCTCTGACTCTGCAAGCCTTGTTTCAGCTGAAAACTCTAATTCCTATCTTCCTATGTGGTGGGCAAACTGCTGCTAGGTTGTGCACACCAGGGCTGGCTGTACCAGACTCAGGGTGATTCATGCCAGTGCTGGGGCTTTGTTTGGGATCCCTGGAACTAGGCAGGGCCTCTCTTCTGTGTCTCATCGAGGCAGCAATGCAGCAAGCCTAGGCACAGTGCTAGGGTACTGACTCAGTGTCACTGAATCACCGATACCACATCCTTTCTCTCCATGTTGTTTTACTTTGCGGTCTCCCCGTCCAAGTAGTGAACAGTGCTGATGGTGCTTAGCTTGTGTGCTGCTGATAGGGTTCATGTTCTGGGGTGGCACGGCTGTAGGTTAAAGACCGGTCTGAGAAAGAGCCAGTACTTCCTTTGTGAGTTGTCATTGGTAATCCACTGGGGGTGGGTGGCGGTGGCATCTCATTTTTATGATTTAATGCTGTTAATTAGTTTCACGGGCCTGCATAAATGTTATTTCAGATGCCATCAGGTTTCTTTACCTTGTTCTGAGAATACTTCCTACTTGATTCATCCATGTTCCAGCCTACTGTTTGGTTTGAGTCCTCATAGCTGTAATAACAGTGAATCTCTGGATGTTGTAGTCCTTTTATTGACTTAAAGCCTGGGTCTCATTATAATTTTCCTTTCCAACCTGTTGGTTTTCTGAACAGAGCAGCACTTTCCCGAGGTGATGCTAGGAGAAGAATTTCTTAGCCTCAGCCTGGACCAGGTCTGCAGCTTGATATCAAGCGACAAGCTCACGGTCTCCTCAGAAGAAAAGGTACAGTAAAGTATGTAGCAAATGTGAATTTATTGAAGAATGCTCGAATGCATCCTGCCATTTTACTGATACAAGTTCTGATATCGTTGTTGTGAAGCCACTTGAACACTCAGATCGGGAGGAAACTTATAACTTGTACAAATCCTTGATACTTGTAAAATTGACCTACAGTAGATCTTTTCACATAAAATCATGACTCTGAAATCCAGTACCTTTGCCAACAATGCTTAGGGGAACAAACTTAAGTTCTTTTTTTCTCTCTGGAAACTGGGAATCCCCCAGCCTTTGTTGTTATAAAGGTCATGTTTCTATTTCGGCCTTTCATTATGCCAGGATGAGATACTGTTTGTCTTGAAACTTGGAACAGGATAAGGTGAGGAGAGAGGGTGCACAACTGGGAGGGAAGAAGGAAATATTTTTTGAGGATGGGGGTGTGTGTGTGTTATTTTTAAGTGGAAAACCAGTGGCTGTTTGATGCCATTCAGTGGTTTGAAATGTTAAATATGCGTCGCATGAAGCAGTTGGAGCAGAGGAGTGAGTGAGTGATGGACTAGCTGAATTTTGATGAACTGGATTCACATCCCTCTACCACAGACTTCTTGTGTGGTCTTGTCAGCAAGTCACTTAGTTTCTTCCTGCCTCGGTTTTCCATGTGCAAACTGGAGATGTCAAAGCACGAGGGGACTGCAAGTGAACTGCATTGAAATAATTGGGAAGCACTCTGGTGGTATGTTAATGGAGCCTGTTTAAGTATCTAAAGTAGATGAGTCATATATTCCTTTGCTTATTAATCTAGTTTATCAGGCTGACATTGTCACCTCATACATGCAAAAGCTGTGTTGTATGCATGAAATCTCCAAGAAGGTAAAGGGGAGATGAATGACATGCATTTTCAGCAGGTTTGCTTTACTTGGATAGAGCCACTTACAAAGGGAAGGGCAAATTTGGTAATCAGCATTTCCCAGTTTGGAGCTGGCATCTATCACATTAATAAATAGCATTTTACTGGCTGTGTTCCCATAGATATCCAAGTTGTTCACTCTCCTAGGGTGGGCTTTTTTACATCATTTCCTTGGTAGGTTTTGCAGTTGAGCATGCCAGAGCATAAATTGCACATTCAAAACAATAGAGATTAATAACAGGATAGATAGGCAGAGAATGGGATTAATATACATACAGGATATATGCTGCAGTCCAAAGGAAAAGAATGCAAAAATTGAGGTCATATTGATGGACTTCTAATTAGTTCAGGCTTCAGTAGAGGCCGTAAAATTTCTCTGACCTTGAATACTCATCTCTGCCAGTGTTTTCATGTGCATGTACTTGTATAGGGGAGTGGAAACTATTTTTAAAAAGGTAAGTAGATTTTGTATACTGAAAACTGCAGTTTTAAATTGTCACCATGAGAAACTCGCTGGGATTTGCAACATATCTTGCTGAGACCCACTTACTGATGTGAATTCACTATAAGGCCATTTCCCCTGGTACAGGTTTTATTTCCTACCCTTTACAGCATTCCAGTAGTGCTTGAGTTGGAGTAGGTTGAAGTCTTCATGGGTAAGGGAATACACTGAAATGCCTTTTGAGGTTGTTTCTACTGTATATAACGTGTCCAGCGAACCAGAGTAGTTCTGTTGCCCAGAATAGATGGGAGTATTACAGACAGATCCCTGGAGTTTCTGACTGTAACGAGGCATTGGGAGGTTTTGCTTTCAGAATACTCCTGCCAGCAAAGTAATCTGTTTTGTTTGAAAATGGTGCTGAGCCTAAAGCATTGTTCCCTTGATCTCTCTGCTACAGCTGAGTGCTTTGAAGGTGGTTACATTCCTGTGTCTCTTCCTCCTGACATCATTAGTTCTTTACTGATCAAGAGCAGACATGGGGAATGGGAACATTTTAATGAATCTCTGCATGTGATCTAATGATGCACGGATACGGTGAGATTTTTGCAGCAGGGGAGGAGCTGTACACATCTACCTAGAAAAGGCACTATATACAGAACAGTAGTTTTAGGAGGTTGTTTCCGCACACTGCCCCATCTGTCTTAAGTGCTTCTCATTGCTGTAGCATCGGAGCCCCTTGTTGCTTTTGCGTATCGCTGTGGGAAGGAGGGAGTGATTTTTACTTCCATTGTACAGATTTGGGAGGGAGCTGAGCCAGAGACTAGGTCGCTTGAACCCAGGGTCACCTGCGGCTTTGCTGAAGGGATCCACCACTGAACTTTAACACAGTGTAATCCAGGGGAATGAGCCCTGTTCTCCAAGGAGTTTTCCCCTACACAAACCCACTGAAATCAGTGTAAGCCTGCATAAAATTTGGAAATTGCTGTGTTAGGGCAAGTTGGGGAAACCTCCAGGCTCACTTGGCCTTGTCTGAGATGGTGTGCGTGGAGGTGACAGTCCAGCCTTGTCTAACGGCTTCACTAGCCATCCAGTCCACAGTTCATTAGCCATCTACCCACGCAATGACTGAATTTTGTAGCTACACACCAGAGAGACCCTGCATCCAGGGAAAGTGATCTAAACCTCTGTTAGAGCTTCCTCCCTAGGAATGAAGTTCAGTTTTGTAATGAACACCTAGCAAAATAGAGGCACAGCCCAGAAGTTCAGTCTTGCACGGGCTTCATAAACCCTGGATTCTGTCACGAAGGCACCGAGACTGCACTGGATGCTGAGCAGGAGCTTGCACTGAAATAGAGAAATGGGGACTGATCAGGGTATGGGAGAAATTACCACTTTTCAGAATAATGGAAACAGATGTACAAATAACTGACAGCTCTTTAAATAAAGAGGATGGACGTTTGGACAAAGGTATTTCTTCGTCTCTTTAAAACTGAATTTAGAGCTGGTGAACAATGCCAGAATAGGAATCTTTCCTTTTATCCACAGAGCAGCTGCAGCATGGATAACATCAGCATAAACTTCCCTCGCACTGCACAACCTTCTTTCAGGTGGTTTGAGACCAGTTCAGTTTCCCATGCATGGTCTTTCTTTTACCTTTTGTTGAGACACCAAAAGGGGCGCTCCTTACGGACATCTGCTTACCTGGAAATCGCATTATTACGTGACACAACTCCTACCACAGACTACAAAACTCTAGTTGATGAGCTGCCTTGGCCCACAGTCACCTTGACCCATAGGATAAATGTGTGTTAACTTAGTGGTCACCATGTAGCTCACTACATAGAAAAGATGTTGCTGGAAAAGATATTTTATAATTGTTAAACTCTCTATGCATTCCATCAGTGCTGGTCATTACAAAGCTGAGCCCATTCCCATTTTTTTACTCGAGCATCTTAAAAAATGCAGAAAGTTATGACTTTGGGGGGGGGGGTAGGTTTGTGTTTTTTGTTTTTTGTTTTTTTAAACCCTTAAAGAGTTGAGCATAGTGATCTTTTTTGTTTTTGTGCATAGTTTGCTTTCAGAGCTCCCTGCTGCCATGCTTAAACCATCCTTGCTGCTTCAGGAATTCCAAATAGTTCAGCAAGAACATTTGTAGGAGTGGAAATGAGGCTGCTGCTTATGCATGATGATTTTTTTTTTTTTTAAAGGGGTAACTCAGCCAAAACATTGAAAAGGCTCCTCTAATCTCTGTCACAGTGGCAGCTAACTCTGTGGGAAAGGGACCGGATGGTTGACATCAGCACCTGTTGCATAGAGTTTTGCCTTCGGAAATTTTAGACTCAAATCTGATAATTGGGTGCCTTCACATTTTACCTTAATTTTTCTGGAGTGGAGTTTTTGGACTTAACACAACGGCCTCCCAGAAGAAATGATTGTTGGCAAATCAGATGAACCATTTGGTGACCTGGGAAGGGTTGAGTTGAAGCTGAGGGCACCTCATTTCATAGATTTCATAGACATTAGGGCTGGAAGGGACCTTGGAAGATCATCGAGTCCAGCCCCCTGCCCAAGGGGCAGGAAGTCAGCTGGAGTCATAGGATCCCAGCAAGATAAGCATCAAATTTTCTCTTGAAGGTGTTCAAGGTAGGTGCTTGAACCACCTCCGATGGCAAGCTATTCCAGACTTTGGGAGCTCAGACAGTAAAGAAATTCTTCCTTATGTCCAGCCTGAAACGGTCTTGCAGTAGTTTGTAACCGTTCGACCTCGTCATCCCTTGGGGCGCTCTGGTGAACAAATGTTCCCCCAGATACTGATGGTCACCCCTGATAAACTTATAGGTGGCCATCAGATCACCCATGAGCCTGCGCTTTTCCAGGCTAAAGAGCCCCATAGCTCTCAGTCTGTCATCGTAAGGTCTGTTTTTGTGACCTCTGATCATGTGCGTGGCTCCTATCTGGACACTTGGGTTGCAGGCCAGCCTTTTGGTCGTTTTCCTAGCCGCGGCATTGCATTGCAGGCTCATGTTCATGTGGTCAATGATGACCCCCAAGTCTCTTTTCTGTAGCGCTAGCCAGTGTAGCACTGCTGAGCCTATAAGGATACCCGGGCCTGGGCAGGCGGCTCTTGCAGCACCATGTCAACCCAAGCATTGCACCGGCAGGCTGGCCGGGCACCCTGTCAACCCGGGCCGGGGCAGGCGGCTTCTGCAGCACCCTGTCAACCTGGGCCGGGGCAGGCGGCTCCTGCAGCACTCTGTCAACCTGGGCATTGCACTGGCAGGCCAGCTGGGCAACAGGTCAACCCGGGCCTGGGCAGGCGGCTCCTGCAGCACCATGTCAACCCACGCATTTCAGTGGCAGGCCCTTCCAGGGCCAGGTCACCCCGGACCTGGGCAGGCGGCTGCTCCGGACACCCCGTCCACCCCGGCAATCGCAGGGCAGGCCCCAGGTGCATCCTGGCCTTGCCATGGGAGCCTTTTCGGATGCTGGGTCAGCCCGGGCCTTGCCACGGCGGGGCGGGGTGGTTTCTCGGGCCCACCGTCAACCCACTCGTGCCTTCAGGAGGCTGACAAGCCACCTGTTCCCCTTGCTCTCCCTGCCTTCTTCCCCCCGCCTTACCTTTCCCACCCGCCTATGGCCAGACCGGACTGAGTGCGCCTGATCCCATCTGATCTCGGAACCTAAGCAGTCCCGGGCCCGGCTAGTACCTGGATGGGAAACCGCCTGGGAATCCCAGGTGCCGTAGCCCCGCTTGGCCTTTTGGGCCAGAGCGGGGCAGGGCTGACCCTGCCCTTGCCCGGGCCCCGGAAGTGGGATCAGGCCCTGGACTGGCTGGCCGCCCTGAAAGCCTTGGGAGCACCACCACGTGGAGTGGATGGAGTCACCTCCGAGTCTACCCGCAAGCCTGCGGCCTGCTGCTCCCTCCATTGGACCCGATTGAACAAATGTGTGCTTCTCTTGATGGAACAACTGGAGTAGATTTCTGGATGTAAGAGATTAGGTCTTAAAAGTTTCATAAGATAGATGGATATTTTAATAACCACTGCTAGGAAGGTCAGCCCTGGGATATTTTGTCTGCATATCAATTAAGCGCATAACTTCATGATTCTGGCTCAGTGGGAACATGGAAATTCATTGTCTCCCTTTTTGCAGGGGTGTGGGTTGTATCTTGGATTGTCCTGGGTCTTTTCCCGATTTATACAGGTTTTCTCTGCCTTTGAAATTTCAGGATCAGTTTTGGGGCCTCTCTTCAGTAGGGTTGTGGTTATGACCCGACCCCCCCCCCGCCCCCTCGAGGGTTGTGGATGGGCCCTTTAGTTGGTAACTCACTTCTGAGCAGTGTCCATGAAGGAAACGCCTCTTGGATGTTCAAACACCACTCCCTGCACAAGAGTTGGTATATATATATATTTTTTTTTCTTATCTATTGCAGCGTGCATCTTCATTCAAGGGTCCCGTAAAGGACTCTTCTGCCTGCCATTGCTTATCGTGTGATATTCTCTGCTGTGGCTGCTGTTGTAGGAAGCTGTCTATTTACAGTCTGTCATGGGCCAGAAGTTTGGATGCTTATCTGAACTTGTTCGATCTGGAAACAAAGCTGGAAGTCTGTTCAGGCGAGGCTTCCTCACATAGTTCCCAGTCCACCCTTGCTTCCCTCCTGAAACCTGGCCTTTCTTGTAGCATCTGAGTATTTGTAGCTGCCAACTTTTAAATGAGGCAGTGCAGAGGAGTGTGAAATTTAAAAGCTGGAGCCGCAATCTAAATAATAGGGATTTTACTGGATGTGTTATGAGCATGCCCTGTAGTGGTTTTCCATTTTTGGAAGGAGTGGGTGAAGTGACTTAATACAATCTTAAGCGCTGCCTTAGTGTGTGACTCTGAAACATTTGTGATGGGTGTTTTGTGCAATCTTGCATGTATTACAAATGAGTAAATCCCAGGGGTTATTTTTCCAAATATTGTCCAGCAAGAATGTCAAAAGGCTAATTATGTTCCTTGGCTGCCTGCCCATAACTAATGCCGCAGTGGTGTTTACTGGTGACCGGCTTCATTTAGAGAGCAGTGGTTCTCAACCTTTTTTGTACCAGGACCCATTTGTAAACACCGATGGCCAGTCCCGACCCAGTGCCTCTCACTCCCGACCTGCTGCCTTCTGCCCCCAGGTCCTAGCCCCCCAGTGCGTGGGGCAGGTGGTGGGTGTGTGGGGCATGGGGGGCCCCAAGCAGCCCCTTGCAGGCTGGAACTCTGCCAGCCTGCAAGGGAAAAGCCACAGTTTCCTACATTAGTCTCCTTTTAAAGGAGAATCCATTTTTAAAGTATATTCTCAACACTTTCCTATATTTTTGTGACCCATTTTTGGGTCATGACCCACAGGTAGAGAAACACTAATTTAGAGAGCCCTCTTGCTCATCTAAAGAATGAGGTGTGGACCAGTTTTCTTGACATGATGTGATTAGTGTTTTAGGATAATGTGTTGCTAGTACTTGGTATAGGTGCAGTATTGTGCTGCTTTATCTCTGTATAATTGCCTGCTAGAACTCTTGGGTATCTTTACACATGCTTTGGGGGTGGGGGTGGGGGGAGTGCTTTAATTAAAGCGGTTCCTGAGAACCACTCTAATTAAAGCGCCTGCAGTGACTCATGTATTCAGCATCCTGTACTTCAAAATGGCAGCGGGGATGCTCGTCGAAGGAGCTTTAGTTAAAGCACTCCCGCTGCCATTTTGAAGTGTGGGGACGCTGAATACACGAGACACTGAGGCTGCTGAAACATCCTAATTACAACACGTTGGAGCAGGTGCCCCTCACGTCTATGGGCACCCCTTATGCCTCGTTCCTCCTTTCTTTCCTTAGTCGCTATGAACCTGATGTTTAGACCGCTAAACTTTTGGCTTTGATAATGGCTAAGAAGGCATGTTCTTTTTTCTGAAGTTAATTATATTCTCTTTCTCTCTCTAGGTCTTTGAAGCTGTTATTTCTTGGATAAATTATGAGAAGGAATCTCGTTTAGAGCATATGGCTAAGTTAATGGAACATGTTCGTCTGCCCCTTCTACCCCGAGACTATCTTGTGCAGGTAAATATGTTAAAAAAATTCCTCGCCTCGGAACTGACCACGGCTCCTTTACCCGTGCTCCTGCTCCTTTGCTGCTTGAGGTGGGGACTGAATATATCTGTGTTTGTGGACTAAGGACCAGAGTTTATACGTTTCATGGTCATGTACACCTTCTCATTAATGAAATCTAAAAAGTAGGTCACACAGTGGAAAGTCTTTCTCCCCCAATGTTCTCTGTGTTATGTTAGCCTGTGCAAAGAGCTAGGATGTGTCTGTGAAAAGTGCTGTAAACTTGGAAGTTTTGCATTGCGAATGAAGTGTTCATTTTCCTATGTTTAAATCTGAGACTAAAGGCCAGATTCTGAGTAAAAGACGCTCGTGGAGGACTTGCAGATCTTGGATCGAGACTCTCAGGAATATTTGCTTCCCGATTTTATGCAGTCAGGCAGTATATCAGTTGTCACTGCGTGGTACTGTTAAATAGTTTTGCAAGTTCTTGTTCAAGCAAATATGGGTGGTGGGGAGAGGAGTTGTGCATGCGTGTGTCTGTTTGGCAAAGTTTTGTGTCTGCCTTGGTATCTGATTAAAGCCAGTTCTTGAGGCAGAACTCCTCCTTGTGAATTCTGGCGTTGGGCTGAGATTCCTAGAGGAGGGGATTGTCTTTTTGCATCCTGCCTTTTGACTATCTCTGTTTTGTGACCTGCATGCTGTTTGACCACCTTTGTTTTATGACTGGTACATTTTTGTGAATTAAATAAATTAAACTGAAACAAACCCAGAACCCACACCTACAATTCCAGTTCCACTGGGAACCAAATCTGCAAAGCCCCAGACATGACCGCTCAGTTAAAGGGTGACTCCTGTGTCAGAAGGTGGGGCACAGCCATCAGAAGAAGAGGCAATAATAATGCAAGATACAGTTGGTTAGGACTTTTGAAGCAAAACCAAGAAAAATCCTCCATGTTGCATAGAGCCCAGCTGTTTGTGTACAGTGTGGGTGGAGTAGCCTGTGACCAAGAGGCAGGATTGCCTTTCCTACGAGGGGCACCATTCCAGCCTTCCCAGCTATAAGCCACTATAATGGGGAACAACAGCAATTCTTGTACTTGATCCGG